TCAAGCTAAAGCCACGCCGGGTTCCCTTTGCTCTCAAGGCTAAGGTGGACGAACAACTGGACAAGCGGATCGCCCAAGGAGTTTTGGAGCCGGTTGACCACACCAAGTGGGAAACCCCCATCATCACGCCTGTCAAGCCAGATGGGTCGGTGAGAATCTGCGCTGACTACAAGTGCACGATCAACAAGGCACTTCAGCAGCATGCTTATCCGGTTCCTGTTGTCCACCACCAGCTGCATTCCCTGGTAGAGGATAAGGACTTCGCTAAGCTGGACCTTGCCCAAGCCTATCAACAACTGCCCGTCGATGATGCCACTGCTGAAGCCCAGACGATCGTCACCCACCGAGGGGCATTCCGTTGCTGCCGGTTGCAGTTCGGGGTGAGTGTGGCTCCTGGCATCTTCCAAAGCCTTATGGAGCGTCTCCTGCAAGGGCTTCTGGGCGTGGTACCATATTTGATGACGTCTTGGTGTCCGCAGACTCACACCAGCAGCTGTTTGAGCGCCTCCGTGCCGTGCTGACCAGGTTCCAAGAGGCCGTGCTCAAGGTAAAGAGGGAGAAGTGCCAGATCGCCATTCCACAGGTAGAGTTCCTGGGCTATCTTATTGACGCCTCCGGCCTTCACCCGACCACATCCAAGATCCACGCTATCCAGCAGGCCCCCATCCCAAAGAACAAGATGGAGTTGCAGGCGTTCCTGGGGCTGCTGAACTTTTATAACATGTTCCTGCCCCACAAAGCCACGGTGGCTGAGCCTCTTCACCGACTCCTCAGCACAAAGACGCCTTGGTCCTGGGGTCACCGGGAGATGGCGGCCTTAAACGCGGTCAAGGCTCTCCTTTCATCGGACCGTGTGCTGGTACAGTACAGTGAATCCAGGCCGCTGGTCCTTGCCTGCGACGCCTCACCTTTTGGCATCGGCGCTGTCCTTAGTCACCGTTTTCCAGACGGAAGAGAAGCACCGCTCACCTACTTTTCCAGGACGCTATCTCCGACGGAACGGAATTACAGCCAGCTCAACAAGGAGGCACTGGCACTTGTGGTTGGAGTGAAGAGGTTCCATGAATACCTCTATGGCAGGACTTTCGACCTCATCACTGACCACAAGCCGCTCCTGGGCCTCCTCGCCGGTGATCGTCCAACTCCACCAGTCCTCTCACCACGCATGCTGCGATGGACTGTTTTCCTGGCTGCCTACCACTACCGGCTCATCCATCGCCCGGGGAAATCGATGGGCCATGCCGACGCCCTCAGCCGTTGCCCTCTTCCAGCGTTTGTGGAAGACCCGGCTCCAGCTTCATCGCTCCTCCTGATTGAGGATCTTCCGGCAGCGCCTGTATCGGCTGCCACTGTGGCCTCCGCATCTGCCCAGGATCGCACCATCAGCCGTGTGCTCAACTGGGTGTGGAGGGGGTGGCCACAAGGGCCTTTTGCATCAGAGTTCCAGCCCTTCGCAACCAGACAACATGAACTCTTGGCTCATCGCGGCTGTCTGCTGTGGGGAGACCGCGTCGTGATTCCCCAAAGACTCCGTCAACGTGTCCTGGAGGCTCTGCACGTTGGCCACCCGGGAATTGTCAAAATGAAGGCGTTGGCTCGGTGTTACGTCTGGAGGCCTAACATGGACAATGCCATCACTGCCTGGGTGTCCGCCTGTCAAGCGTGCCAAGAATCGAGGCCTGCACCACCGGCAGCTAAGGGACACACCTGGGAGATGCCAAAGACAACCTGGTCGAGGGTGCACATCGATCTGGCTGGCCCCTTTCACTGCCGGACCTTTATGGTAGTGGTGGACGCCTATTCAAAATGGCTGGAGGTGGCCCTGATGCCCTCCACCACTACCGAGGCCGTCATCCGGGTGCTGCGAGGCCTGTTTGCGATGCATGGGTGTCCTGATGTCCTTGTCTCTAACAACGGACCGCAGTTCACGTCAGGCACTTTTGAGCGGTATCTTTTGGGACTGGGCATCCACCATGCCCTAACGGCACCCTTTCATCCATCCAGCAACGGGCAGAGAGAATGGTGCACTCGGCAAAAGAGGCACTGGCGCGCCTGGACCGGGGAGACTGGCACGAGCGGGTCACCGAATACTTGTTCGTGCAACACATCACCCCTCATGCGGCCACAGGGCGGAGTCCTGCTGAACTGCTTCTGGGCCGCCGCCTCAGGTCACCACTCGACCGGCTGCACCCGGACTTTGCCGTGGCCGAACCCCCAGGCTGTGCCAACGCGCCACGGTCATTTGTTCCAGGAAACCAGGTCTTTGCCCGGAACTATGTGGGGGACATTCCTTGTGTGCCAGCCACAGTAGTGGGAGTCACTGGACCTCGCTCGTACCAGGTGGCACTCGAAGACGGACGCTTGTGGCGCCGGCACATAGACCAGCTTAGGCGCAGGGTTGGGGACTTCGACACTACCGTGGTGCCCCCAACTGCGCTTGTGGCTCCAGAAGAGACACTTACAGATGGCGAGGCTCCACCTACACCTCCCTCGCAAACTGCCAGCGTGGAGCCAAACCAAGCCGCTTCAGAGGGTCTGCCAGACTTACCACAGACTCAGACCACTCCACTTGCGGAGGCTCCACCCACAGCAGCGGATCCAGGGGATTTGGTTTCAATGCCACCTAGGGTCGCACCACAGCCTCAGCAAGAATTGTGTGGCCCCCCGGACTTGGCTACCAGTCCCCGGCGGTCTGGCAGAGTTTCCAAGCGCCCAACTTATTTAAAGGACTATGTTGTTGGACATGTATCACTGTTGGTCTAAGTATGGGAAATGTAACCGATATGCTTTTGTGCCTAATTGAACCATTACGTGTAGTGCTGTATATAAGGAAACCATTACGATTGTAACTAACGCCTTATCTCGGTGGGGAGGGGTGTTATGTACTGAAATTCTCACCCTGGGCCAACAGGGGGATACTGTAGATAGTTTTCACTCAGGTCCACGTCAGTTACTTTAGGCGGGAAACCCTGGGTTGTTGTTGCCACAATGTTGACAGCCGGCTGCCTATAAAAGCAGGCCGGCTGAGCTGTTTGCTGTTCAGTTCTGTTCCAGCTTACAAAATAAAGAGCTGCTTTGGAGAAATCCTGTGTCGTCTGCCATGTCTACCCACTATTCAACAGCTGGCCAGGCAAGCCCTCCTGCTGTGGGGCCTGATGCTAAGTGTGTGGCCCTCAAGGAAACAACTCTTTGCATGCTCAGAAAACATAATATGGTCTAATTTTCTTCTGTGGCTGTATGCTAACTCCTGTATGCCATCAAGAGAAGATGAGAGAGTGGAGATCCAAGGTATCCACTGCCCTAGAAAAATGCAAAAAATGTTCATGTGGTTTTCGTGCCTGGAGATGGATGGAAGAGATCTTGTGGCCACAGCAATATAGTTTGCCCAGAGAATGGGAGAGTGACAGAAATATTTCCAGCAGTCTCTCTTATGTTCAAATTGAAGGATAAGAACGTGTGTGTTGGACAGGAAAGTGTGTTGTGTTCAAATTTTGGAGAAAACTTAAAATGATTGCTTGAGGTTTCACTTTGTAGGGCAGTACCCAGGTTGCCCTAATATAGCAGCTTCCACTGAGCACAGGACTTACTTTAAAAAAAGGCAAAGTGAAAAATGTCAAATTTCAGAATAAATTACAACCCAATAATTTATTAATGTATTAATTATTATTACTAATATTTATAGTATAATTATAAATTATAACCTAATGCGGGCATGTGGAAAGGAATGAGATCCAACTTGGGGAACTGGTAGCATTTGATTTGCAGGAAACAGCAGCCTCCAAGGCCCGTTATTATGGACGAGGTACAAATCTTAATCAGGTGGTCAACTAGTTGAATTATTTCAATTTAAAAATGCAGTGGCAAATTACCTATACCTGGAAACTCAGCCATTCACCATTTTGGTTCATTAAAAGATAACAAGAAAGAGCCGCAGATGACAGATTGGTCAGCTTCATGGGCATGGCTGTTAATACAGATATTGTTTCATTCAGCTAACATTTATTCACCGTAGACCTTGAGTAATTAATTTCAATGGGTCTGCTCTGAGGAAAAGTTAGCTGAGTGCAACTCATAGCCAGAATCTGTTCACTCAGATCCACAGGAACAGCTGAGATTTAAGAAATGGGCAAAGATCAGTGTTTTTGTTTCGTGCCATTTCACCTCAAAATATGCAACTGCTTTCTGCATTGTTCATTATGGGGCATTTGTAGTTTTCTCAGTGGTCATAGATTTCACATAAGTTAGCCATACAGTTAAAAATGTTTCATTCAGTATGTGGTATTAAATTTCACATTCAGTATGACAGATACCTTATTAAAGCCTCCTGTAATGGGAATTTTGTTGCCCATTCTGAGCTCTTATGAGATCATAAAAATTAGGTGTTGGTAACTAGACAGTGATTTTAATACCCAGTACCTGCTTCGGCTGGGGAGGGCGGGATATAAATAAAATTTATTATTATTATTATTATTACCTGAAATTTCCCAAACATATGCTTTTATAACGCTGTGAAAATGTAGTGGGTGATACTAGAAGGAATGTTAGATGACAGGTGACTTGAAAATATCAGATACCTTATGTTGAGGCAGCAAGGATAGAAGACATGCAAATGCTGAGGAAGTCCTACAGCCGTGGTGAACTCTCCTTTCGGAGGTTTTTAAGCAGAGGTTGGGTGGCCATCTGTCACGGATGATCTAGTTAATATTCCTGCATTGCAGGGGGTTGATGAATCACAGAGTTGGCAGGGACCCCAAAGGTCATCCAGTACAACCCCCTGCAATCGCAGCTGAAGCATCCATGACAGATGGGTCTTTGCTTAGAAACCTCCAAGAAAGGAGAGTCCACCATCTCTCCTGGGAGTCTCTTCCACTACTGAACAGCTCTTACTGTCAGAAAGTTTTTCCAAATGTTTAGTTGGAATTTCCTTTTTTGCAACTTGAAGCCCTTGGTTCGAGTCCTACCATCCAGAGCCGGAGAAAACAAGCATGCTCCCTCTTCCATGTGGCAGCCCTTAAGATGACCCTCAAGGTCACTTCCAACTCTACAGTTCCATGATTCTAACATCCAGTTTTCAGCTTTGTTTACTCCTAAAGCGTGATCACACTTTCAGTATTAAAAATAGGCTTGCACATTCTTTCCTTTGACAAAAACTTTCATGCAACTGATTTAAAGAACTTCCTTTCTTGGTGTTATATATACAAAATAGCTGTACGTTAACTTTTTTTATAAATTTGCAGCCAGAAAGCAATGGAGAAATAATATATTTTATATTATACCTTCTCTCCCTACTCCAGAAAGATAGATATATTTATTTTTTACAATAGGCATACTGCAATATCTGACTTTGAAAACTTTTGCTATGTTCTTTTGAACCAAGACAGCAGCTGCCCAGAAGATGAAGAAGTTAATTTGCTCAAGCAATTGCTGTATCTTGTCAAGAAAACCACTTCACAGAGAAATGGTTATAATTTGAATTGCTAAATTACATCTAGGACTGGCTGAATAGTTAAAATACATGCATTCACTATTTGTTATGAGGAATTTTGTACTGTACAGTAGATAGGATCCAATAAGCCTTTTTATTGCATATACATTTTGTTATGATTGTATTGAAACCATGTCATTGGGGCTAAAAACCTGATTTCAGGAGAATCTGAATCTTGTTCCCAAAACCAACGTATATATACCTTGAAGAAATCTGGATTAGAGTCCTTTAAGGTGGTTGAAACCTGCCTACATTGCAGAAAACCTCCCAACTTCCAAGAAATTGGGTTTCAGTGTCCCCATAGCAAATTTCACACCTTTGTGCAGATAGAACTAAATTGAATGGGGCAATCTGCACATTTACTCAGAAGGAATTCCAGGTGTGTTAAATGGGACTTATTCCCTAGTAAATGCGCATAGGATCACAACCTTACTGGTATAAAGTCTAGTCTATACTTTAATGCAACACTTCATGGCTGTGCTCTGCTGTTCGGATGCAGTTTTAGGAGCAGGTCCCCCACCCCCATCTTTAAAGATGTATATCTTAGAAGTCTGTGACAAAGATGAAAAGAGTTGCTGTAGGTGTGTCTGAGAGTTTGGACATGCCCAATTTCAATTTTACTGTTTCTTTAAATAGTAGGTCCGCGGCTCAAACAAACCAAAATCCCCACCTTGGACAATGCGAAGTCGGGGATTGTGGTTTCTTTCTGTTGAAAGTGGGACGTCTCTGTCTGTTCACAGTAAACCATGAATTGTGGTTTATTGTGATGTGTGAATGCAGCCAGTGTGTTCTGAGAAAGTTTGAGGGGTTTTTTAAAGCCTTAAAAGTGTGCTTTGTTAAAAACAGGGGGGAAAGGCAGAAGGTTTTGTACTTACCCCTGCCAGCATGGAGACATTTCCAGTTAGCAATGTAACTGGCTAGACTTGCTCTTGAATATTCTGAAGGCTTTTCCCAGTGAGCAAGATAGTTAGTTCCAAGATAGGAGCAGTGTGATGATGTTCAGTTGGTGCATGATGCTGAAATTGTCTTGCATGGGTTTCATCAAATCTTCATAGGCATTTTTAACACCCAAGGCTTCCGCAGATCCTGTCCATTAAGCTTTGTCTGAAATTAAGCCAAGTCTGAATTCAGAGGAGATAAGAAAACTATGCTTAATCCATTTGTTCTGGATTTGAAGGGAGGGTAGAGAGGGAAATGTGCCTGGCCACCCCTCCCCACATGCTGATAAAAGCACAGGAAAGGAAAAAGCCACATCTGTCAGTCACAAAATGATCAGCACCATCAAAATGATGCCCTACAGGTTTCCTGCCAAAGGAAAACTAACAAGACATGGGGAGGTCCTCTGAATGGGTTAGGGTGGGACTTTATCAGCCAGGGGGCAGAGCCAGACGACTCTCTCGCTGTTCCTGTCCTTGGATTATGCCATATGGAGCAGAGGGAAGCGCCAAGGGAGAGAAAAAACACCCTGCAACAGGAGAGGGTATGTGCTGCCTTCCAGAAGGTTTCAGGTTTTGTCTTTTCTGTCTCACGCATCAAATCAGGAGCAGCCGCCTTGCCATACCAAGATCTGCTGCACGCTATCAGACATAGGACTGAGTATTCCAGCTAATTTTATTTGCTTTAAGGATTTGAGCAAGCAAAATTTCTCTTTGCTGGCTTATAAATTCATTCTGAAATGTTAAACGTGAGGGTAGAAAAGTTAAATGCAATCACTAGACAACTGAGGAAATACTGATGCAACAGCGTTGCTGGAAATAACTAATGTGTATGCCGTATTCAAAGTTTGTACAAAGAGAGCTATTCAGAAGTTTAGAACCTCTCAAAATAGCGAAATCTGGGAATGGGCATGTTTTGAAAAGGAATTTAAGCCTTAAAACCCTGCATTCAAATGCGGGAAGGATAGACATGGTATAGATACAGTTATGAAATTGCTCAGTGTTGAAGCAGCACTTATGAAGACTGACTTGATGACAATATAATGACAATGCTTTCTTATGGTATTTTATGTGAATTGTCCAAGTCTCCCCCCCCCCCCACCATTTCTTTTTGGTAATACAGTATGTCTAAAGACTAACTTGCTCCGAGTCTGTAAAGCAAAATAATTTCCGGAAGGAACAAAATACAGTTCTCAGTGGGTTTTTTTTTGGGGGGGTGTTAACTGGTTATCCAGACCAAACATTGAAGCAGTGAGTGCATTAACATTTGCCATGTGCCTAATCTTGTATTAAGCTGTTGTAAAAGATTAAAAGGTTCTATTTGCACTAGGTTTGCAGGAGTTTCCTACCTTCATTGGAACTAAGGCTTAAAATCTGACTGAAAAAATGTAATGGATACAGGCTGCAAGAAACCAAAAGAATAATCTCTAAGGTTTCTCTCCACCCCATCCCCATAATTAAGTGTACCATCAGTTCACACAGATAAGAGAAATAATTAATTACAAAATGCCTAAAGTTATATATGCAGTTTAAAGTTAAACTTTTCAATAATTCATAGATGGAGGCCTTGCCCTTTCAAAGCGCTATCTTGTCTGCTGTATTGCAGTCTCAGTACTGGGTTTTACAAATACAACCGGGTATACTCTGGATGCCAGACATATTAGCCAAAAATGCTAATATAAAATTTAGAATGACTGGTGCCAACTTTGCAACTACTGTATTTGGTTCCAGGTCAAAACTTGCCTTTTTGGCCAAGCATTTTAAAGTTAATTTTAAAGTCTATTTTGATTGTTTATCTTTTTGTTTATTGTATTGTATTTGTGTGTGGGGGGGGGTTGCTTTTATTTATGCCTATTATATACTGGCCTGGTAGGAAAAACAGTCTAGAAATGTTTTTAATGAAACAAGAAATAAAAGGAAAAGGCGGCTGAGCAGTTCTGACTTGTCCTTTAATACTGGGTCCATTTCATACAAATCCAGGTTTGCCACAGAATGTACATTCAACAGGGAGCTGCAACTAATTCCATTTCTCCTGCATGTTTTTGTTCCATTCACTTTTCAATTTGCACTTAAGCGCCTTAGGTGAACTCTCTTACGGACAAAACTTTTAAGTGAATTTTGAAATAAATAATGGGGTTGTCACAAATGATTCCTGGAACTTCCTTATGGGCCACTGTCAGCATTTCCAAACCTTAAGCAATGTGTCAGTTTGTTAAAAATGGTGCCATGTACTAGTCTATAAATAACACTCAAGTCATGCTCCTGACTTGCTTTGCTGCATAGTGACTCTTTAATTGCTTTCCTCCTTCAGAGCCTTTATCTTTTACTTGAGACTTCCATTATCTAAACATCTTCTTGTGATTTAATTTCAGAATCCTGGTAACAGGTGACAGACTGGCTGCACACGGCGGTGTTGTTCCACAATAATGTTTGACTTCTTACTGGGTGGCTGGAGAATGCCAAAGGCAGAGAAGATATACAATACCTTTTATAATTTTAAATATTGATCAAGGTGAGCAATACACCTACTTCATTACAGAATGTCTTACGGTAATGGTGAAACTGGTGGGCACCCAATGTATAACCTTTGCAGTAGAATTCAGCATTCTGACTCCCAAGTGGGGAACCTGAATGGACACAGGAAGTCTGCAACCTTTTTGGAAGTGCGAGCAAACTTAAACAATATGCAGTACTCTTCTGTGGCACTTGATCCCGATTCTTTGGTGACTAATGGATCAAAAATTTATTCAAACTCTGAAGAAGAAAATCCACATGATCCTGCTTTCCAGATAAACACCGAATCCATGACAGGAAGTGAGGTACACCGGGCCTACCCTACAAAATGCTTTTATGGCCCATACTTAACCAAAACTAGTATGCAGGGAGATGTGTACAACTTTCTGGAACGGCCGAGTGGATGGAAGTGTTTCATTTATCACTTTGCAGTGTAAGTACCTTTTTTCCTCTCCATATGACTATTTCCTTGTTGTGAACCTGCACTTTTTTTATTTCACAGAAAGTGAACTATTGAGCTTAATATGCAAATACATTTCCTGGGAGTGTGGATCAAATAAAATGCTAGCACCAGAACAAACCAGGAGTATGTGAATCCATCCATCCACCCATCTGATTCCGCCCCCCCCCATAACATTACCTAACTTTTGACTTCCCTCAGAATTCCTTAAATGTTTTGCCAGATGACTCCTCAAAATCAAATGGAATTTCTTTTATGCAACATTTTGATAGGCCATTCCAGAACACTTTAACTTAAAGATGTATTCGGTGGGAGCTTGTGTAATGGTTAAGAATACAATAGACTGAAAGACTCTGAAAGACAAATCTTACTTCAGCCATGAACTTACCAGTTGGTCTTTGTTAAGCTGATGTTTTTTCAGTCTTAGCGGACGTACATACATACACTCCATCTACAATGTCAGGATAATGGTGATGAAACAGACGGTTGTAAGGATTACTGGGAGAATGGGCATATGGAACACTCTCATGCTCAGAAAGAACCCAAGCAGCAGCAATGGCTAATCTATCTTTTATTTAGATATGACTGACCCTTGCTTTATCAAGGCTTGCTAATATTATGGTTTTATTTGTTTATTTTTCCCTTCATATTTTTTATAATTATGGGGAATCAGCTAGCATTAATTTTAATAGGAACTGATTCCATGTAATTGTAGGGTCAGCTCTCTACATAGGTCCCTTTACACAGCTACCTGCAAATGCTATTTGGATGACTGATGTGGTTCAGAAGGTCCTAGGCTGCGCACACACTACAGTTTAGTGTGCATTCAGTGCATACCGTGTGCTTGGCTTTTTAAAATTATTATTGTACATGAGACTTCAACCCCAATGCAGACACATCCTGTTTTTTCTGATGACTTGATGTGTTTTCCCCCACGAACCAGGTTTGATGTAAAAATAGATTTTAAGCCTAAATAAATTCACATTTCAGCCCATGTGTGTACAAAAGAGAGAGCATGTGAACAGTACACTTGTTGCTGTGGCTCCCCTCATGGTGATGTTACAGTGGGTGTGTAGCGCTGCAGAGAATTGCACTTCCTTTATGCTTCTCAGGACGCACTTAGCTTCTAATTGTTCATTCACTTCCACATTTACCTTAGTTTATGCTTTATCAGTGGGTTACTGCTGGGCTGGGGGACACGCTTTATTTTGGTGAAAGTCTGGTGTATCAGGAAACTTGTTTCTGAAAAAATTTAGAAACTGCTTGGCTGCACACAAGCAAACAAATTCCTGCCTGCAATGGACCTGATCTCTCCTGAACTCAGAGAGAGTAGGCTACTGCTGGGGCTGAAAGGGACACATTTTTTTTTAAGGGTTAAAAGTTAATCTGCTGTTTGGTGACAGTCTGGTATACCATACTGGAAAACGTGTATAACAACAACAACAACAACTGTGCACACACAAGGTAAATAAATACCTGCACACATGCCTACAGTGGGGCATGGAAACACAGGGGGAGGAGTTGAGAACGCAGGTGTGGGGGTTAGTGTTAATTATATGTTTCTGTGTTTTTATACTGCAAACCACCCTGTTATCCTTGGATGAAAGGCTGTAATTAAATTTAATTGATGATGGTGGTGGTGGTGATGATGATATGGCTGCTGCTTCAACTATCAGTGTAATGCACAGGTATAGACAAACTATACAGATGTGCACAGAAAAAAGAGCTCTGTGCATTTCAAACACTTAGTGTGTACACAGCCCTACTTTCAATCCCAGCGTGATGTAGTCAAAGGGATCCAGGTGCTTGTGTGTCCTGCTTCACAGAGACATCTCTCTGTCTTGAAGAGCTACCAGGCTGTCTGGCCCAGCGTGATTTCTAATGTTGCTTATGTGAGATTTGGGGTGGGTACTCTTTCATGGCTTAAGAGTCCAGGAGCTAAAATTAGGTTAGCTTCTGTTCTTTGTGTTTTTCCTTAGCAATGTGGCCTAAGAAATCAGACAGTGTGTTTATGAGGCTAAGAAGACAACACTAATGTTGATTCTACAAAGGAGCTGGCATGCCACAAGGCAGACAGAAATTGCCTCACCCAGGGCAGCTTAATGGAGATAGTAGAGAGGAAATTGTGTTTGGTGGCCTGGAAGGGTCAGTACTGCTCCACAGTTGTCATAATTTCTCCCTCTGTGAGAATTCTCTCAAATCTTCAGTGCCAGCTTCCAGCTCAGCAAACTTACTTAATAGCAAAAAAATGGTCTGAGGAATTGTACCCTAAAGCACCTCCTGCAGAAGTCACTTTCATGTGGTTCTTGTTTTTAGTGTTAGACCATTTGAGTAAATCAACGTTCATAGAATCATAGAATTGGAAGATACCCCAGGGTCATCTAGTCCAACCCCCTGCAATGCAGGAATCTCAGCTAAAGCATCCATGACAGATGGCCAATCTCTGCTTAAAAACCTCCAAGGAAGAAGAATCCACCACCTCCCAAGGGAGACTGTTCCTGTTAAGTTGTGGGTGAAGATATCAGACGACACAGCGATTCTTCAAACAGCTCTAGTTTATTCACAGGCCAGAACAGAACTGGGCTGAAGGGTTCAGCCAGCCTGCTTATATAGTGCTCAAATACAAGGCAACAGTAACAATTTTCTGTAACTATCCAAACACTGAACGTCACTTTCATTTCCTTATTTGCATATGTGGACCTGAGTGAAAACTATCTACAGTATCCCCCTGCTGGCCCAGGGTGAGAACTTCAATACATAACACCCCTCCCCACCGAGATAAGGCGTTAGTTACAATCGTAATGGTTTCCTTATATACAGCACTACGCGTAATCGTTCAATTAGGCACAAAAGCATATCGGTTACATTTCACATATTTTCATTAGACTGACAGTGTTACACGTCCAACAATATAATCCTTTAAATAAGTTGGGCACTTGGAAACTGCTGGACCGCCGAGGACCGGTACCCAGGGCCAGGGGGCCGCCCTATTCTTGCTGAGGCTGTGGTGCAACCCTAGGTGGCGTTGAACCCAAGTCCCCTGGATCCGCTTCTGTGGGTGGAAACTGCGAGTGGAGTTGGCGGAATGTCAGGCATGGCAGTGGTCTGAGTCTGAGGGAAGTCTGGCAGACCCTCTGAAGCGGCTTGGTTCGGCTCCACGCCCGCAGTTTGCGAGAGAGGTGTAGGTGGAGCCTCGCCATCTGTAAGTGTCTGTTCCGGAGCCATGAGCGCAGTTGGGGGCACCACGGTAGTGTCCAAATCCCCAACTCTGTGCCCAAGCTGGTCTATGTGCCGGCGCCACAAACGTCTGTTTTCAAGTGCCACCTGGTCCAGTGACTCCCACTACTGTGGCTGGCACCCAAGGAATGCCCCCCACAAAGTTCCAGGCAAAGACCTGGTTTCCTGGAACAAATGACCATGGCGCGTTAGCACAGCCCGGGGGTTCAGCCATGGCAAAGTCTGGGTGCAGCCGGTCGAGCGGAGATCTGAGGCGGTGGCCCATAAGCGGAGATCAGGACATCAGGACACCCATGCATTGCAAAGAGGCCTCGCAGCACCCGGATGACGGCCTTGGTAATGGAGGGCGTCAGGGCCACCTCCAGCCATTTGGAATAGGCGTCCACCACTACCATAAAGGTCCAGCCGTGAAAGGGGCTTGCAAGATCGATGTGCACCCTCAACCACCCTCCCTTAGCTGCCGGTGGCGCAAGCCTCGATTCTTGGCACGCTTGACAGGCAGAAACCCAGGAAGTGATGGCATCATCCATGTTAGGTCACCAGATGTAACACTGAGCCAATGCCTTCATTTTGACAATTCCCAGGTGGCCAATGTGCAGAGCCTCCAGGACACGTTGACGGAGTCTTTGGGGAATCACGACGCGGTCTCCCCACAGCAGACAGCCGCAATGAGCTGAGAGTTCGTGTTGTCTGGTTGCGAATGGCTGGAACTCTGATGCAAAAGGCCCTTGTGGCCACCCCCTCCACACCCAGTTGAGCACATGGCTGATGGTGTGAACCTGGGCAGATATGGAGGCCACAGTGGCAGCCGATACAGGCGCTGCAGGAAGATCCTCAATCAGGAGGAGCGATGAAGCAGGAGCCGGGTCTTCCACAAACGCTGGAAGAGGGCAACGGCTGAGGGCGTCGGCATGGCCCATCGATTTCCCCGGGCGATGGATGAGCCGGTAGTGGTAGGCAGCCAGGAAAACAGTCCATCGCAGCTTGCGCAGCGAGAGGACCGGTGGAGTTGGTCTATCACCGGCGGGGAGGCCCAGGAGCGGCTTGTGGTCAGTGATGAGGTCAAAAGTCCTGCCATAGAGGTATTCATGGAACCTCTTCGCTCCAACCACAAGTGCCAGTGCCTCCTTGTCGAGCTGGCTGCAATTCTGTTCGGGTGGAGATAGCATCCTGGAAAAGTAGGTGAGTGGTGCTTCTTTTCCGTCTGGAAAACAGTGACTGAGGACAGCGCCAATGCCAAAAGGTGAGGCGTCGCAGGCAAGGACCAGTGGCCTGGCTTCACTGTACTGTACCAGCACACTGTCCGATGAAAGGAGAGCCTTGACCCCAGGACCAAGTTGTCTTTGTGCTGAGGGGTCGGTGAAGAGGCTCAGCTACCGTCGCTTTGTGGGGCAGGAACATGATATAATAGTTCAGCAGTCCCAGGAATGCCTGCAACTCCGTCTTGTTCTGTGGGATGGGGGCCTGCTGGATGTGGTCGGGTGAAGGCCGGAGGCGTCGATAAGATAGGCCAGGAACTCCACCTGTGGAATGGCGATCTGGCACTTCTCCTTCTTTACCTTGAGCCCGGCCTCCTGGAACCTGGTCAGCATGGCGTGGAGGCGCTTGAACAGCTGCTGGTGTGAGTCTGCAGACACCAAGACGTCATTGAAATACGGCACCACGCCCGGAAGCCCTTGCAGGAGACGCGCCATAAGGCTTTGGAAGATGCCAGGAGCCACACTCACCCCGAACTG